AACAATTATTCAAATAATTTTTTCAACTTTTATTTCATTTTCATTTTATAAGGTGTTTTTTCAAATTCATAAAATAAAATAATATTGATTAAATTTATTGTTATATTAATCAATTAGAGATAAATAATTATAATTTATTGAAAATTACAATTACTATAAAATCGGGCAAATTACACGGAGAAAATTTGAAAGCACTCAGTATTTTTTCTCACAGCACGGGCTACTGTGTAAACCAAAAAATTAAATTCCAGAGTTCTGAAAGTTCTCCACACAGCACTGAATGCTCCGCAGAAAATAATCACAACTTTTGTTGACAGTAATCAGAGTTTTGTTTTATATTAGTTGACAACAGATTATTCAGAGCTACGAATGTAGCAATAAATTCTTTGCTTGAAGTCGTGACTGCTGTTCTCACAGCTTTGAGTACTGTGTAGAATTATTGTTTAGAATTTAGAAAACAAAGGAACGTTTAACGTCAATTAAAAAGAAGATAGCCATGGTTATTTTTTCTTGTCAAATATTGATTTTAATTGGCATGTTTATAAACAGTTAATGAATAACAGAAATAAAGACTTTTAAAAAGTCTTTCTAAAAAGTATAGGTTTAAAAATTTTTTTTAGTTATATAGTAAATAAAGTTATTATATTATAATGAAATAATAAATAATTATTTTTAAAATAAATTATTATAGGTAAATTTTTATTATTTATTTGTATTTCACAAGTTTTGAGATTTTAAGATTTCTTAGCTAATATCAAATTACAACTTAATCTAAATTTACAGACAATTATGATTAAAAAATATTAAGTTTCAACATTATTATTTTAAATATTTATCTCTCGAAGTGTTCGAAGTACAAAAAATTTATTGTTTTATTGTTCTGAAAATGTAATTTAGGTTTTGTTTTTTTTTTGCGTTTGGGTTATTGTAATTTTTGGTGTTGGAATTTGATCCTTTGTAAAGTCCTATTCGTTTCATCACATGATGAGAAACTGCTGTTCAGTTTAAAAAATAAATAAATAATAAACTGATATACGCTCCTGTCAGTTTGAAAGAAATAATCTCTCGACTGGTCTGACATCTGACAGTTGATAAAAAAGGTTTACAACTGGGCTGATCTCTGACAGTTGATTAAAAAGGTTATCAACTGGGCTGATTTATTTGTCTGACAACTGAAATGAAAATATTTCAGTTGGGCTGAAAATAAAAAAATTAGAATAAGTAAATAAAATTTGAGAGTCAGAATGTAAATAGGGCTGACTCGGGTTTGTGGTGTTTTCTCTTTCTTGTTTTCAGTAATATTTCAAAATTGCGAACATCGAGCCGTTCCCAAAAGTCGGCTACCTGCTGCCTTTTCAGTAACAATGGGTCGTTACCTTCAAGACAGGGAGCGAGACTTAACGGCGCGTGAACAATGGAGGAAGGAAGGGGAAAAAAGGACGAAGATTTGAAGAGCAGAAAAGAAAAATATATTCAGTATTCGTTGAGATGTATTCACATAAACACCTTTGACACAAAATATAAGTAAACTAACTAAAGTTAAATTTAAACGTAATCGTTTTCTTTTGGACTAAACCCTTTGCCTAAAATCTCCTTCCATTGAAACATTGGTGCCGAAACCCGGGAATATCTCAAGTAACCGGAAAGTCATTCATAAGTGAGGCAGTCGGCTTTCAAATGAATCAGGCAAAAAGGAAATGTGTACGTCCAAGGAATAAGCAACCCGGGGATTGCGGTGACAACTTACATGGTGAGAGCCACGCGATCGGACAGGGATCACGAGCCGGAGAGCCCCTTGTTGGAGCCCATGGAGATTCTGGTTTGGATCCCCCTGGGGAAGGGACCTCGGAGAGGACGGAGCTGACTGGTCCTGGACCTGGAGGGACTGGTACTGATCGACGAAGTCAGAGAGGATCATTGCCCGTAGGAGCCGAATTGCGGACAACCGGATCTGGTGAGTCTTCGAGAAGCAGCCGGGTAGCTGAGGGATTCCGAGATTTGGGTGACTCTACTTATAGTAATTCTGTAACTTCATCTGGGTCAAGGAAAAGACGGTTGGTGGTCGCGGCGGCTGAGGAGAGAGCGAGTGTTAAAAGGGTCTTTTTAGCGGAAAGGGAAAGAATAGAACTTGAGTTAATAAACGAAAAATTTAATGCGACGCGCGAATTGGGGGAGGATGGGTCGGACAGGAATTCTTACACATCCCTTTATGGCAATCGAGGGGATAGGGCGAACTCAAACGTGAGACGCTGGGAAATGGATGTTTGGGAGAATCGCCCCGACCACTCTCAGCCCCCCTCACCTGTGGTGCCAGATTTGGAGTATCGTTCGGAACGATCCTTGCCCCTTGCCCATGCGGGGCCCAACTTCCAGGGTCGCCCCGAACGTTTCGTTGCATCTACGCCTGCGGGACCAAACTTAAGCACGGGGGTACCGAGGGGGGAACAGTAACCAATTAAACATTTCTACAGGGGAATTTACTAATGCACTAGTTTCAGCGATGAGGAAGCTGAGAGAACCCAGTACTGTTGCTGGGTGCAATCCTCAACACCTTATTAATAGGTTGACATATAAAAAGGGACTTCCTCAATTCTCTGGCGACTGCTTGGAGTGGCTCCGTTTTAAAAGAGCATTTGAGACTTCTTCCAATTTGGGGGGTTTCTCAGACACTGAAAACATAGCTCGTTTGTTTGAAGCCTTGAAAGGCGAGGCAAAGGATGCGGTAGACTCTCTAATGGTAACAGCCTGCTCCGCTCAAACAATCATGAAAACTCTCGAATTACGCTTCGGCAACGCGGATAGAATCACCGACAGAATAGTGACATAAATTAAAACCCTCCCACGAATGTATACGGCCAAAACGGACATTGTCAGCTTCGTGACTAAAGTTCGCAACTGCGTATCAGCAATGCAGTGTCTAAAACAAACCGGCCACCTTCACAACCCCGACCTACTAAAAGAAATAATTGCTAAGATGCCACCAGCGTTGATTTACGAATATAATAGATTCGTAAATGCTAATCCAAGTAACGAGCCAAGACTATTAATTCTATCAGAATTCCTATACAGGGAAGCGGAAATAGCATGCGTGGCAGGGACTTCGGGTAACGTGGGAAAAGCAACCAAAAATATCCTGACAACAGTTACAAATTCCGAGTCAGATACAACGCATCCAAATAAAAAGCCCAAACGAAAGGAATCCCCAGAAAGGAAATCTAAACAGAAAAAATGTTTATTCTGCGAAAATACTGGCCATGACATTTCTGTATGCTGGAAATTTGGACACGCGACAGTAAACGAACGTTGGAAATGGGCTGGTAAATCCAACTCGTGTTTTAAATGTCTTGCGAGGACGCATAAAATAAGCAACTGCAAATTTCAAAAATCTTGCTCGTTTGATGGGTGTAAAAAAGGGCATCACCAGCGGCTTCATTTTGTATCAAAGAAGAGTCAAACAGGTAAAATAAATCTCAGGATAATTCAGCTTCAGACGACAGAACAATAGCGAACCTGAGCGGTTTATCATGACTGGGGGAAGAGATTTTACTAAAAATTATTCCGATAGCTATCGCAGGTCCACATGGGAAAATAAAATCATTTGCGTTATTAGACGAAGGCTCTACGACTTCACTAATCGATCGGGAAATTGCTTATCGAATCGGAGCAAGGGGACCTTGTATAATGTTGAATCTAAAGGGAATCGGGGAATCGGAGTTAATAGAAATGGAAAGCGAACGAGTTAACATTAAAATATTTTCCAATGGGGGAATATTTGAATTGAAAAATATTAATACAGTAGGAAATCTATCGCTTCTAAGACAAACTCTAACAATGGGTGTTATTAGAAGATTCAGAAACGCTAATAAATTAAATGTAGAGCCCCATACAGATGTAATTCCTAGACTTCTAATCGGTCAAGATAACTGCTCATTGATAGTGTCGAGGGAAACACAAGTAGTAAAATCAAGTTCATTATCCGCGTCACGCACTTATTTGGGCTGGGTAATACACGGACCGACTGATGGTAACATACCAACGCCTCGGACCATGAACAACAACGTGTCTTACACTGCAAAGATGACTGACAAAACAAAAAGCCAAGGGTGTACGCTAGAAGATGAAAGTCTTCATGTCCTAGTCAAGGAATATTTCAACATTGAATCGCTCGGGGTAAGGGAGCGTTCACAAATTACGTAAAGTTTTTTTTCTAGTTTGACCCCCCCCCTCCCCATGTAACACGTTATTGCATACATTAGCGCCATTTTTTCTGCTGTCCGTAACAAAGTGCTTGACCCCCCCTCCCCCAAAAAATGTTACGTAATTTTTGAACGCTCCCTAATGTCAGGAAACAATGGATCAAAGAAAGAGGGTAGGGCCTACAAAATACTAAAAGACACGACCCTCAGAACAGACGACAATAATTGCACGGAGAAACCTTTGGCTAGACCACCTCCCCGCAACTAGGCAGACAGCGCCACCATCAAGTTTGAAAGCTTGCCTTCTTACTACGGGTGCGTGGCGTTCCCGTTCTGTCGAAAAAACGGGTGCGTGACATACCCGCACTGTCGGCAGGCTACCTTTTCCATATCGAAGTGCGTTTAACTATTGGAGCGCTTTCAGCTCGGCTGCCTGCACGGGCATGTTTATATATTAATATATAATATATTATATGTATAATATATATATATATATATATATTGATGTTCACACGTGTAAGCCAAATTTTGTTTAATTTAAATTCAAATTGATACTCTTGCCGTATAATGGGATAATAAATGAAATAAAAGTCACTTTTAAAGATTGCTATTAATTATTTAATAACACAAATTAAATCACTCCACATGATATGTAATTGATAATGAATTTATACAAGAAAAAATAAGTTTATAAAATCAAAGTTTCCCTTTTCGTCGATAGAGATATTCTGCTGGTCGCAAGAAGAAATTTTGTATTTAAAATAATCGCTCATTTTCCTTCTTTCTCTAATTTCGCATTTAAGTTTACAAATAGTACACATCATCACCCGGAATCAACTCAACAACTCGGCCCATACACCAATGCATCGGTGGAATATTATCTTCCCTTATTGTCACCAATGTTCCCACCTTTATATTACCTTCCCCAACCATCCATTTACTCTTTGCGTTTAATTCATTAAGATATTCCCCCACCCACCTTTTCAAAAAATCTCCCTTGATTTTTTGAATATGTTGCCACATACTCAATCTATTTACAGGAATTGTGGAAAGGTCGGTCGTGGGAATAGTTGCAAGTGATTGTCCGATAAGCAAATGTCCCGGCGTTAATACATTTAAATCTTTTGGATCCGAGGACATTGGTGTCAATGGGCGCGAGTTTAACAAGGCTTCAATTTCACACATAAGCGTATTCAAACTTTCAAAAGACAATAACGCGTCGCCGACCACTCTTCGCAAATGATGTTTAAGGGCCTTCACGGCTGCCTCCCAAATTCCACCAAAGTGGGGGGTCCGAGGTGGATTAAAATTCCATTCAATTAATTCATTTGATAATTCTCGCTGAATTTTTGCATTTCCCTGTTCTGAGTTTAAAAAGTCGTGAAGGTCCCTAAGCTCATTATTGGCGCCACTATCTGAATACAAGGCTCGAGCTTTTCCGCGTCTCGCAAAAAATCTGCGCAAGCATCCGATGAACGCTTCGGTCGTTAAGTTCTCAACCAACTCGATGTGAACCGCCTTAGAGGCAAGACATACAAATATGGCCGCATATACTTTTAATTTTGATCTATTTCTAGTTCTTTTTTCTTTAATAAAAAAATGACCACAAAAATCCACTCCAACATTTTCAAATGGTCTCGCAACAGAAACTCTTACTCTTGGAAGATTACCCATAACATAATTAATCTCTCTAGGCCTAGCCTTACGACATATCACGCATGACGTCACTACCTGACAAACTGCTAATCTCCCATCTATTATCCAATACTTTTGTCGTAGATTATACAGCGTCGCATTAGTTCCTGCATGTTTCATATTAAGATGAGCATCGCGAATCAAAAGGATGGTAAAAGGGTGACGTTTAGGAATAAGGATAGGGTGAATTTGATCATTATCAAGATCAGCATGTTTCAATCTACCACCCACTCGCAAAATGCCATTCTCCATTATGGGACTTAAACGTGCAATTTTAGAAGTGCATTTTGACCAAACCGGATGCAATAAGCGACTACTCGAATGAGTTTCCTCAATGATGAATATGCGTCCCACAAATTCCAACGTTGAGTGATCCCAGCAGTTAATACTTGAATTTTGTCTGAACTTTTTTGTTTATCTTGCGTTACTTGGAATTTTGGAGGCCAGTTTTCTTCTTCTTCTCTCAACCAAATCGGACCTTGCTTCCACAATTGATTGATTAGGAAATCAGCTGGCATTTGACCTCTAGAAATCACATCCGCCGGATTCACCTCTGTTGGAACATGTCTCCAATCATCCGAATTTGTGGCACCTTGAATCTGAGCTATTCTGTTAGCCTCAAACGTCTCTAGCTTATACGATGGTGTATTGATCCAATTGAGAACAATCTTTGAGTCGGACCAAAATGTCACTTTGCTGAATTTGACCTTGAGAGCTCTTATTACCAATTTATGCAGTTTTATGAGTAGCACCGCGGCACACAACTCTAATCTGGGTAATGAGATGATTTTAACTGGAGCCACCCTTGACTTAGAACAGAGCAACATGGAATGATGCCTTCCACCATTTGATGACCTCAGATAAATACAAGCTCCGTACGCACGCTGACTAGCATCAGCAAAACCATGGAGTTGCAACTCCTCCGCGTTGATGATCTTAGCCATTCTTGGTATACGCCATTCATTGATCAACTTCAACTAATCACGGAAAACTCGCCAATTTCGTTCCATCTCTTCCGGAAGTGTATCATCCCATCCTGCCTTCATTTTCCAAAGTTGCTGCATTTCCATTTTTGCCACGATGATAACCGGAGCAATCCACCCTTGAGGATCATAAAATTGAGCAGTCTCTGACAAGATTGATCTTTTGGTAATGACTTCTGATTCTTCTTTAATGTTCACATCAAATCCAAGCTCGTCAGCAAACGTGTCCCAAACAATGCCCAAGGTCTTTGTTGTGGTTTGATTATCATTTAAACTCTTGCGTAAATTAGACAGACTATCTGGTAGCGAATTGGTAAGTCTTGCATCATTCGAGACCCACTTGCACAATCGAAGACCCGCCTTAGATGTCAATTCCATCATGTCCTTGACCAATCGATCAGCCTCCTCATATGAATCCCTCCCAGTCATTAAGTCATCTACATAGAAATCATCACGCAAAACTACCGCTGCTTCTGGATATGATGATCTTTCATCTTCGGCTATTTGCGCTAAACACCTTGTTGCAAGAAACGAGGCAGCAGATGTTCCATACGTAATTATTCTCAATTGAAAAATCTTGATAGGTTGACTGGAATTAAATCTCCAAAATATTTTTTAATATTTTCTGTCCTCGGGATGGATGAGAAACTGGCGGTACATCTTTTCAGTGTCCGCTCCTAGGGCAATCTTGGGCAATCTAAAACGAAGCATCAACTCCATCACTCCATCCTGAATGGTTGGTCCCACCATCATCACCTCATTCAAGGACACTCCTGAATTTGTCTTGGCTGACGCGTTAAAAACTGTTCTCAACTTGGTCGTTAGACTTTTCTCCTTGAGTATCGCATGGTGAGGAATCAAGTATCCATCCCTTTCATTCGAATTAACTTCTTCCATGTGATTCAGGTCCAAATATTCTTGCATAAACTGGTGGTACATATTTTTTAATTTGGGATCCTTTTCGAGTTTTTTCTCTAAAGCAAAGAATCGTCTGCGAGCTGTATCATAAGATGATCCAAGAGATTTCACCTCCTCCTTCAGTGGTAATCGGACCATATATTGTCCCGATGGCTCGCGTTGAACATTTTCTCGAAAATGATGCTCGCACGCTTCCTCTTCCGCGGAGAAGTATCGCTCATCCACAAGTTCCTCGATTTCCCAAAATCTTTCTATTTGCTGATGTAGTTGATCCCGAATCAAATTACAGGACACATGATTCCCTTGATCACTATTGTTGATCTTGCCAGTAACAATCCATCCAATCTTAGTATTTTGCAGGTGAGTACGTGGGAGTGTCAATGGAATCCTTTCAGTACAGAGGAGATCGTAAAATAATTCAGCGCCAATCAGTGCATCGATCTGTGAAGGCTTATAAAAATTTGAATCAGCAAGAGGGATGTTCTTAGGAATATTTAGGATTTGTTTATTTATAGGAATACTAGGGTGATTACTTGTGATATGAGGCAATATAAGAAAAGACAAATTCATTGAATAATTATTGTGTTTTGATTGGAATTTCGCGTATACCCATTCTAAGCTATTTATTTCCTGATTATTAATTGCTTGAATTGATGCATTAGTTTTTCTTGTTTTTAGTTTTAACAAATTTGCAAATCTAGTTGTGATGATATTGGGTTGGGAACCACTATCTAATAAAACGCGACACTCGAGTTTTTTCCCGTTACAATCAAACATATCTACGATTGCAGTTGACAACATCACCGCCGATGCATTGCAAACATGTAAATTTTTAGCTTGATTTGCGCAACCTTCGTTATTGCTAATCTGTAAATTATTTTCCAAATTTGTATCTACATTATCTCTATGTAACAATGTGTGATGACGTTTGTGACACTTCATACAATTGCCAGACCTACACTCGTTAATTAAATGATTTTTCTTTAAACAATTAAAACAAAGTCCTATTTTTTTTACCAGTTCTTTTCTATCATTCACTGATAAATTCAAAAACTCTGGACACTTATTGACTACATGATTATTTTTGCAATTATAACACGAAATTATTGGTTGCGCATTTAAAAAGGATTTTCCTATTAATTTCTTTTCATTGTTTGTTTGCAATTTATTACTCGGCCTTGTATTCAGTTTGTTACTCTCACCACAACCAGCGTTTATAGCTTCTAACAATTGACAGCGATCGCGCAGGAATTCCAGAAATCTATCAAATTTAGGCATTCTATTCCCACTCACCGCTTTTTCCCACTCCCGTCGAGAATCTTTATCCAATTTTGCAGTAAGCAAGCATATCATGGGTGTATCCCAGCTGTCAGTGGGCTCTTTCAAGACTTTCAGCGCACGCATATGCCGAAGTATCCCGTCATAAAATGTACGCAAGCATGTAACTGATTCGCGACTAATAATTGATAAATCGAATATTGCCTGCATATGATTTTGAATAATGACCCTCTCATTATTAAATCTTTCTTTAAGAAGATCCCATGCTTCGTCATAATTGTCGCTGGAAGTCTCGATGCTTTCAATTACCTGCGCGGCTTCCCCCTTTAATTTTGCTTGCAAATAACGCAACTTTTGAATTTTAGGTATTGAAGGATCGTCATGAATAATTGCAGAGAACGCATCGCGAAACCCTAGCCATTCCCCATATCCACCCGAAAAGGTGGGTAACGTCAACGTGGGTAAACGAATATTTCTCACTTTTTCAAATGTTTCATCGCTGGGTGTGGTGTTTCTCGCGACAAGTTCCCGCAAATTTACTAACTCTTTTTTACGCTGAGCATTAAGCTCCGCCTCTAATTGTGCTATGCGAGTAAGGTGATTCACCTCCCCACCATGAGACCCTGGCTCCGGTGACAGAGATTGTCTATGATCGCTTATCATTTTCGTAGCCATAGTACAATATCTAAAATGAATTTCCTCAAATTCACTACGTTCAATCTCACGATTTGCACTCGGAGCCAATGTCTCAAGACCCAATTGCGCTTTATCATATTCCTTCCAATTCTCATCCATTTTATTTAGACGAAGCTGAATCTCCTCGACCGCCGTATTTTCGATTATACATTTATCCAAAAAAGTTTTAAATTTAGTTAGTCTTGTTTTGCAATTTGTACGGCTTTGTCGATGAGCTTCAATTTCGCTAGTCATGATTATAGCTAATTAAAATTTAATTCAAAGAGAATATTTACAACTAGAAATACAAAATATTTGATCGTTACAATACACGTTAATAATACTGACATACGCTTACGAAATTGATGTGAAGATCACCTTGGTGTTGTGAAAAGTAAATACCTCGCACCCACGCCCAAATTTTCCCGCGTAGACGCTGCTTTCCAAATTCCAGAATTCCGATCGTTGATAAATAAGCAATTGAAAATCGGATGCACTTGCAGTGTATCTCGCCTTGTGAAAATTTCGGAATTCCAATGAATGGACCAAAATTGATAATTTTCTTTGCCTCAATGCAAATGACCCACGCTTAGCTCTTAGCGTCCAATGAGAAGTTGCTTTATCTTATTAATTGACCAGGCTGTTCGATCACCACTGATAAGATAATCCAGTATATTTTAAATGCACTTTCATATTCTTTGAAATAAATATAAGTTACTGTATATTTCACCAAACTTTCCGTTGGCAAACCTATCCGGCTCGAAGGACCATGTTCACACGTGCAAGCCAAATTTTGTTTAATTTAAATTCAAATTGATACTCTTGCCGTATAATGGGATAATAAATGAAATAAAAGTCACTTTTAAAGATTGCTATTCATTATTTAATAACACAAATTAAATCACTCCACATGATATGTAATTGATAATGAATTTATACAAGAAAAAATATGTTTATAAAATCAAAGTTTCCCTTTTCGTCGATAGAGATATTCTGCTGGTCGCAAGAAGAAATTTTGTATTTAAAATAATAGCTCATTTTCCTTCTTTCTCTAATTTCGCATTTAAGTTTACAAATAGTACACAGAGGGCATCACCCATCAGTCACATTATAAAATTTTAGAATACCCTATCACACAATTGATATATATATATTATATATAGATATGCAAGTGCAACAAATAAAAATAAACTTATCCACGCTTTTTCCACGCTTTACAACTTGTGACTATTTGATATAACCTAACCTTCTGCGTTTCATGCGCGCGGGCTTCTCATTTTCCCATCTACCAGACACGTCATCGGCCCAGTAGACCGGGCACGCTGCGTTCCCGGTTTGTGGAAACTTTGAGTTCCCAAATACTAGTAGCGCCACCAGCACACGATTTTTGACATACCGGGAGGGCTGTCGGCCTAAAGGTTTCTCCGTGTGGGAAACAGGTCTCTTGTGGAAACAAGACGAGATGATGGTTCCTGATAGTAAAAACACGGCCCTGTTACGTCTCAAAACGCTCGAGAGGAAATTAGATCGCGATCCCGTTTACGCCCGTCATTATTGTGCGGAGATGGAGAGATTAATATTAAAAGGCTACGCTGAAAAACTACAAATTGAAGACACATCCGGGAGGGAGTGGTACATTCCTCACTTCGGTCAATTTAATCCTAACAAAAAAAGAAAAATGAGGTTGCTCTTTGATGCGGCTGCTTAATCCGATGGAATAAGTCTCAACGATGAATTAATGAAAGAACCCGATCTACTGAGGTCATTAGTAGGAGTGCTAATGAGATTCAGGAGAAAAAAGGTTGGACTCAAAGGAGATATCAAAGACATGTTCCTACGAGTGAAGCTGAGGCGTCAGGATCGCAATGCTCAACGTTTTCTGTGGAGGGGAATAGACAGAAACAAACCTCCTGAAGTGTATCAAATGACAACATTGATATTCGGTTCAAAATGCTCACCAAGCAGTGCTATTTATGTAAAAAATACAAACGCGGAAGAATTTCGAGAAACGTTTCCCTAATCAGCAACCGCGATAATAGAAAACATATACGTAGACGATTTTTTGTTAAGTGTAGACACTGAGGAAGAAGCAGTACAAACTATGGAAGAGGTAACAGAAATTAATCTTGCCGGGTGTTTCAAGATGCATGCTTGGACATCAAACAATCGCGATTTATTAAATTCCTCCGTTCACCGTGTGAATGATTTCAAACTGATACAATTTAAATCCGACGATTTCGGGGAAGAGAAAACTCTGGGCCTGTGCTGGAACACCCCTACGGACACCTTTATATTCAAAATTGAGTTAGATAAAATCCCAAAGGAAATACTAAGCGGAAACAAGAGACCAACCAAGCGCGACTTCTTACGTGTAATTATGTCCGTATTTGATGCCCTGGGTTTTTTGTCTCCCTTTCTTATTCGTTCAAAAATCCTAATGCAAGAGGTCACACATTGCGGGGTGGACTACTTCGGACCGATGATTGTTAAAATAGGGCGCAGGAGAGAAAAACGCTGGGGGGCCCTTTTTACGTGTCTAACAACGAGAGCCATACATATAGAGTTAGCTCACGGCGCAAATAAAGACTTAGCGATAATGGCCCTACGAGGTTTGATCGCCAGACGGGGACAGACACAGGTTATGTATTCCGATAACGGGAGAAATTTCAACGGAGCAAACAACGAACTCCTCAAAACCCAAAAGGAACTAAACTTCCAAGCTCAAGAAAAATTTATGGTAAATCTAGGTATTAAGTGGACCTTTATTCCACCGGAATCTCCGCACATGGGAGGCGCTTGGGAACGTCTGGTAAGGTCCGTCAAAACCGCTCTGAAAGTGATACTACGTGACCAGGCTCCAAAAGAGGAAGTTTTAATTACCCTACTTGCAGAGGTTGAGCACTGTATCAATACGCGTCCACTAACTCACTTGTCGGTAGATCCTAGGGATCAAGAAGCTCTGACGCCAAATCACTTTTTACTAGGGTCGTCTACAGGTAACTGCACAATAGGTCGATTTGAGGCTCTCAAAGACTGCACCCGAAAACAATGGCGAGTTGCACAGGCACTTATAAATGCTTTCTGGAAAAGGTGGTTGAGAGAGTACCTCCCAACACTACTTCCTCGAAAAAAATGGATAAGTGAAAACGAAAAATTAAGCGTGGGAGACGTAGTCATAGTAGCTGATTACAATACTCCCCGAAACATATGGAAAAAAGGAGTAATATCGGAGGTATTCCCTGGAAAGGACAAAAATAACCGGGTTGCAAGGGTTAGGTTAGGGAAAACGTCCCTAGTACGACCAACATGCAAGCTGGTAAAGATTACACAAACTCCATAAGTACAAAGTACGGGGGAGGATGTTCGAAATACAAAAAATTTATTGTTTTATTGTTCTGAAAATGTAATTTAGGTTTGGTTTTTTTTTTGCGTTTGGGTTATTGTAATTTTTGGTGTTGGAATTTGATCCTTTGTAAAGTCCTATTCGTTTCATCACATGATGAGAAACTGCTGTTCAGTTTAAAAAAATAAATAATAAACTGATATACGCTCCTGTCAGTCTGAAAGAAATAATCTCTCGACTGGTCTGACATCTGACAGTTGATAAAAAAGGTTTACAGCTGGGCTGATCTCTGACAGTTGATAAAAAAGGTTATCAACTGGGCTGATTTATTTGTCTGACAACTGAAATAAAAATATTTCAGTTGGGCTGAAAATGAAAAAATAAGAATAAGTAAATAAAATTTGAGAGTCAGAATGTAAATAGGGCTGACTCGGGTTTGTGGTGTTTTCTCTTTCTTGTTTTCAGTAATATTTCAAAATTGCGAACATCGAGCCTTACCCAAAAGTCGGCTACCTGCTGCCTTTTTAGTAACAATGGGTCGTTACCTACAAGACAGGGAGCGAGACTTAACGGCGCGTGAACAATGGAGGAAGGAAGGGGAAAAAAGGACGAAGATTTGAAGAGCAGAAAAGAAAAATATATTCAGTATTCGTTGAGATGTATTCACATAAACACCTTTGACACAAAATATAAGTAAACTAACTAAAGTTAAATTTAAACGTTATCGTTTTCTTTTGAACTAAACCCTTTGCCTAAAATCTCCTTCCATTAAGTTTTGAAAAACGAAGTAAAAAAAAATATGAATAATCTTAGTCAAATAATCTGTATTTCATAAAAATATTAGAAAACATCTAAAATTGATTAAAATTGTCATGAACGCTTGTTTAAAATTGTTGTCTATTTTTTATTAAAGGTTTAATGTTCTTTTATTTCTTAAATCCTAAAAAATAATTCTACATAGTACTCAGAGCTGTGAGAACAGCAGTCACGAATTCGAGCAAAGAATTTATTGCTACATTCGTAGCTCTGAATAATCTGTTGTCAACTAATATAAAACAAAACTCTGACTACTGTCAAAAAAAGTTGTGATTATTTTCTGCAGAGCATTCAGTGCTGTGTGCAGAACTTTCAGAACTCTGGAATTTAATTTTTTGGTTTACACAGTAGTCCGTGCTGTGAGAAAAAATACTCAGTGTTTTCAGATTTTCTCCGTGTACCATGGCCATGGTCGTGCCTAGTCTGGGCCCGGTCAAATTCTCTGCACTACACGTATAAATGAAAAATTATTTACATTCAGAATAAAATGATTAAAGCATAAAAGTATATTTTCATTATAACAATGTGAGCAAATCATGTGACTTGTAAAACAAAAGAGTATCGTAAAATGTAAAAGTATCGTATATATAAAATGGAAGACATTTAATCTTCATTGTATTACATGTAACAAATTTTAACTTAATAATTTAATAATTAATATTTACTTAATTAGTAATTAAATAATAAGATTAACAAATTAATTTATTTTTTTAATTGAGTAGCTGCCTGCAATAACTCGCCGAGCGCTTGGCCGATCGCTCTAACGCCAGTCAAATGTTCAAAAACGTGAAAAAAATGAAAAATCAAAATTTTGATTTTTGAAAAGTGCAATCTTGTAGGACATAAGATGGCGCATCTTTTTTTCCTTTGAGTTTTTTTTGTAGATCAAAAAATAGAGTTAATATATGCAAAACACTTAAAAATTTTATTTCACAAATTTCATTCAATTTTTAAACATAAATCATAGTATCTTTGACAAATTTCAATGAATCTTATTGAAAATTAATATACATACGTATTTAGGTCCATAGAAGACGACAACATAATCAAAAATATTAAAATCATCAATTGTTTATTTATAATTAATTGTAAATGA